TTGTGTTCTGATATTTCCCAATAAAATATATTTATTTATTTAGAATTAAAAAATAAAAAAAAATTTTTTTAAATTAATAAAAACAGAAAAATTCACGTGAAAAACTTTAAAATTAAAGATTAAAAACTAATTATAATTTAATAAAATTATAGAATAATAAATGATTACATCTTGATAAGTATATGTATTTTTTTGTTATTAATTTTTTTCTGTGGGTCCGATTATCAGATTTACATATATTAATATTATTATTATTTCAGCTCGAAACTGCCAGAAAAGTTTAAAATATCAGACTTTTTCCATAAAAAAGATATCTCGCGACTTTCTAAATTTTCATAATTTTAAAATTAAAATATACTATAATGTATATAATGTTTATGCCTACTCCAAAATTTTCATCTGATCCTATTCGAACTCCGACCGGCAACTGAATCTGCCCAACCCTCTAGGTTGGGCAGATTTGAGAACAATGCCAAAAAAATTTCTGCCCAACTCTCTAGGGATGTTAAACAAATGGCAAGTAATTCTGCAAATAGAAAACTTTAAATATTATTCTGTAAAAAGCTAAAGTTGTAATAAAATGTTGATAAAATTGTGTCTAAACAAAATATAATTTTTTTAAATTACTTTAAATATAAAAATTCACTGAAACTTTGGATAAATTAAGAATTAAATATAATCTGTTGTCTATTTCCTTATTTTAATCTAAAGCCTATATTTATAACACAGATTAAACTGAAACTGAAGATAAAAAAGTTTTCGATGTTTAATTGAAATTACCGACAGAATTATTAAAGTCTATGCCCTTGTCATGCTTGCCAAAAGCACTTTATCATATGAATGCTATATGGCATTTGACAAAAATTAAATTCAATAACTCGTGAATGGAGGGGGAAAGCGAGACTTTAAACAATGCCAAAAAATTTTATTCATAGACTATAAACAGACTATAAACGCGTGAAGCGTTGCGGCAATTTAAATTTTATAAAAGTGCGCAAATCTTATCCGCAAAACGTGCCTTTAAAAACATTGTTTGTAGCGGAATTTCAATATCTTATATTCTGAGTTTTAATTTTAAATATTCTATGTATACACTGTGTTACATAAGTATACGCGCACCTAAAATTTTTGATTTTTCTGTCATTAATATAGATGTTAATATTTTCTAGATTTTTTAAAATATGTAAATTAACTAAACAACAAGATTTATGGACAATTTACCCAAAAAATTTAGAAATTTATTTTTATTTTTATTTTTTTCCCAAAATAGGGTGTTTCATAAGTATACGCGCACTTATATAACTTAAGATTTTAGACATTAGTGATGGTTCGAAAAATCCACAAAAATTCCTGCAAACATATTAAGTGATATTAAAAGAAAATACAAAAGAAATGAAGTTCCAGTCAAGTCCCATAATCGAGATCTCGAAACCCGAAAATCAACGGAAAACCGGGGTAGACGTCTTTAAAAAATATTTTCGACCCCTTACAGGTAAAATAAAAATTTTATTTTGGGCTTATTTGAAAGCCCTTGAAATTTGCTACAAGATATTTTTTATCTCATATTCTAGAAAAAATTTTTCTTTGAGAAATAATGAGTTAAGTTTATGAGTTACATTTTCATCACTTTTTGGGAGGCGTTTGAGTGATTTTGGTGACCTGAAAGTTTATCACATGTTATGTCTTAAATGTAAATTTTTTCGGAAAATAAGATTCATGCTATCTTGTAGCAAATTTCAAGGGCTTTTAAATAAGCCCAAACTGAAATTTTTGTTTTAACTGTAAGGGGTCGAAAATATTTTTCAAACACGTTTACCCCGTGTTTTCCGTTGATTTTCGGGTTTCGAGATATCGATTATGAGACTTGACTGGAACTTCATTTCTTTTGTATTTTCTTTTAATATCACTTAATATGTTTACAGGAATTTTTGTGGATTTTTCGAACCATCCTTAATGTCTATAATCTTGTGCGCGTATACTTATGAATACCCTATTTTGGGAAAAAATTAAAAATAAAAATAACTTATTAAATTTTTCAAGAAAAATTTAATAAGTTAGACGGCCAAATTGAATTTAGACAAGAATTTAATTTGGCCGACGACATACGTATACATTCAAAACTCTATTTTTAATAACTTTTCTTTAATTTGATTGATCACTGAGAGGTTGGGGGGTTACTCTCTCAAAATTAGGTGATAATCTCAAAATTATAATCTCAATTTATATACAATTTACTTATCTTTCAATAATTTAGGTAAATATTGCGCTAAAAATGCGCAATATTAAAAAGATAAAGTTTCTGATTTTATCGAAAATTTTGATTCTGTTCTTTTGCTTTGTTTATCAAACAAATGCAGGGACAACATCAAAGCGAAAAGAAAGAGAACCAAGCAATTTAATCAGTTTCCAAACTGCAAAAAAACAGAAAACTGGAAAAAGTACAAAAAATGTTTACACAAGTATGATTTTGAGATTTTTAAATTATACTTAAATAACTTTTCAACTATGAGTTAACAGATACAGAAATCCGAACTTGAAAAAAGTCCGGGTCGTATGATAAATCGTTCATAGGGTGATTAACTTACGGTGAATAACCCTAGCCTTTGAATTGTTTTATGCTAACTGTCCTTGTGTCAAAAATTTGTTCTGTAACGAATTATGGTGCCCATATCGCGCGCTGCGAAATTAGCATATTTTTTATCACCGATACTTGGGCATAGGTATATGATTTGACATCTAACTTTAAAAATAATTATTTAATAGTTACTGTCGAACAGCAACTTGGACTTTTGAATGAATGCAAAAGTTTAAAGCCCTATGAATTTCAATATTTATTGAAAATATATGTTGGAAAAATCAATAGCAATGAAGGCCATAAAATAACTGAAGGCCGTGAATTTAATTTATAATAAAATTTAAAATTAATAAATATGTATATCTGTAGTTGACGAGTGCCGGAATTTTCGTCTCTGGAACATTCGTCTCCAAGACTTTTCGGAACTTTCGTCTCTAACATTTTCGGAATTTTCGTCTCCAGCGGAATATTCGTCACCAAGGAAATAAACGGAATTTTCGTCTCCGCAATTTTCGTCTCCGCTAGGAATTTTCGTCTCCAGAGGAAAACTTTCCCCGTTGACGGGCAACTTCCCCCGTTGCTGGAACTACATCCCCGTTGAAGAAACACTATCCCCCGTTGACGGGCAACTTCCTCCTTTGCCGGAACTACATCCCCGTTGAAGAAACACTATCCCCCGCTGACGGGCAACTTCCCCCGTTGATTCCTCCGTTGACGGACCAACTTCCCCCGATGATCGAACAACTTCCCCCGTTGACGGACCAATTTCCCCGTTAACGGAACACTATCCCCCGCTGACGGGCAACTTCCCCGTTGCCGGAACAACATCCCCGTTGAAGAAACACTATCCCCCGCTGACAGGCAACTTCCCCGTTGCCGGAACAACATCCCCGTTGAAGAAACACTATCCCCCGCTGACGGGCAACTTCCCCCGTTGCCGGAACAACATCCCCGTTGACGGAACACCATCCCCCGCTGACGGACAACTTCCTCCGTTGACGGAACAACTTCCCCGTTGACGGACCAGATCATTTTTTCTGGAGACGAAAATTCCTAGCGGAGACGAAAATTGCGGAGACGAAAATTCCGTTTATTTCCTTGGTGACGAATATTCCGCTGGAGACGAAAATTCCGAAAATGTTGGAGACGAAAGTTCCGAAAAGTCTTGGAGACGAATGTTCCAGAGACGAAAATTCCGTACACCGTAGTTGACTCTCATATACTTAATCCCTATTTTCCGGTCACATAGTGTTTGTCTATAATAAATCCCTAATTTTTATTTATGTATATACATAATAAGGCCTTCACAGCTAATTTATAAGCTTAGGCGGGGCCGTATCTTCGGCAATCGTGAGTCGAATTAAGCTAAACCTGAGTTGACAATTGACGACTTGTAACCTTTTAATAGGCGATTAGACAAATCCATCCAGTAGGGAAAAAGATAGCGTTTATCGAGAGCTTTCAAATGATATAAGAACCATCGGAATTGGATCTAGCACAAAACAAGTTATAGCCGATCAAATTAAGAAAAAGGAGAAAAGAAAGAAAATGTGGCTAAAAATAAGCTTAAAATACATAAATACTATACCTTTAATTATTATTATTAATTCAATATAAAACAGATTTAAAACAATTGGAGAAATTTATGAAATATTATGAAGAGAGAAAAGGAAAAATAGAGATAAACGTAAAATCATATTTTGAATTAAAGCAAAGCTTGGCTGAAAACGAGGAAGATAAAATGAAAAATCAAACAAAAATGGGAAGTATTCGACAGGAATTAAACAAAATCTTCATTCTTTATCTTAATTATTTGAAAAAAAGGGAAATAGTAAATCTTGTAGTGAAGAATTTTGTTAATGGAATGGATAAAAAAGTTAAAAATAAATATTTAAAATTAGAAGAAAACCAAAAAAAGTTTTATGAAAATGGAAACAATGTAAACATTTAAAAATTTTTTAAGACTAGAGTTTATAATATAAGGTACAACTATTTATTTTAAATAAATATTTGTAGTATAAATTCTAATGACCGGACTGCAAAGCTCGTACGAGAATTGAGATTGATATCTCAAAAAAATTTCGATCTTGATAACCGTGATTTTTGATCGAAATCTCGTCTCTGTCCGATCTTGAGTATATACTCCATTTTTATTAAACATTCCTAAACAAGTGTAATAAAAGAGGATTATCAAATTATTTTTTAATCTCAACCTACATATACTACAAGTACAACTAAGTGTATTAGTTGTAACAAATATACCTACATATTTTTAAATAATTACAGATATACCAAATATTTTCAATACAAACATTAAAAGGTAAAAAGATCTTAAAAAATTGTGTAAGAATAATTCTTTAAATTGCAATTTTTTAACTAAAATGTTTCCACTGTTAAATTAATTTAAAATTTTTTTAAAGGAAAACAAATTACTGTCGAACAACAAATTAAAATTCTTGCTGAAACATCTTTGAAAAGCAGTGTTTTAAAAGAAGTAGAAATAATTTCTGTAATCAAAGATTTTTTTTCGAAAATAAATGAAGCTAGTTATCAAAAGAAGGCAGAAGGTAATAAAGGAGTTAGGAGAGAAAAAAAATTTCGACTGCAATTTATGAGACGAACTTTATGAGTCCAATCACACTTTATGAGTGTGATTCGACTCATAAACCGCAGTAGAGCCAAAATTTCCTTTATCTCAAGAAATCTCTTTTCTCGTTTCTTACGTCTCTTGTATTAAGTATTTCTTTAATTATTATTAGTGTTCGGCACGGTACGGTATACCGCGGTATTTTTCCCGGTATACCGCGGTATTTTTTTCCGGTATACCGATACCGAAACCGTACCGGTCCTCGAAAAAATACCGCGGTATTTTCCGGTATTTCTGTATTTGTGAAATTCTCAAAATTTTTGCCTGCGGCGCTGAAAAAGTAAGAAATCTGTCTTCTGGTTTTCCAAAATTCTCAAAATTTTCGCCTGCGGCGCTGAAAAAGGATATATAGGGGCCTTCTATATGGGCATTCTATTAGAGGAGGCATTGTATTTTTCAATTATCCTTCTGGGGCATTCTATTAAATGAGGGTATTCTGGTGGGGGCATAATATTTTTCCATCATCCTCCAGGGGACATACTATTAAAAGAGGGTATTCTAATGGAGGAAGCATTGTATTTCTCAATTAGCTAAATGTCGAGCAATTGTTGGACATTTTGCTCATTCAAATCTTGCCTATGATCGATTAGAAGCGTGTCCGGTAGTTTCGTCAGAGGGTTGTTTCGTCAGAGATGAGTTTCGTCAGAGGTCCTTTTCGTCAGTAAGGCTCCCTTTTCAAAAATTTAATCAAGCGTCGGTGTTATGACTTATACTAGGTTATTTGTTTCTGGGTCAATTTGGACAAATGAGGTGTCATTCGAAAGAGCTCTGAAAACTGAGTCGAATTAGTTGTGGAAGAAGTTTATCCGACATTCCGGGACCGAATTAAAGACTCCTGAATACTGAAAAAGCACAGGGAGGTATCACCTCGTCGAGCAGGAGTCAGACCGCCGAGCTGACTCGAATGAGCTGTCATTTATATACTCGAATTTTTCACCATAAAAATCGCTTTTCAGAGCTCTTTCGAATGACACCTCATTTGTCCAAATTGACCCAGAAACAAATAACCTAGTATAAGTCATAACACCGACGCTTGATTAAATTTTTGAAAAGGGAGCCTTACTGACGAAAAGGACCTCTGACGAAACTCATCTCTGACGAAACAACCCTCTGACGAAACTGACCTCTGACGAGAAGGACCTCGGTCGAAACTAATTCTGACGAAAATGTCCTCTGACGAAACTACAGAGCACCATTAGAAGAAACTCAAGTCCTTGAGATTGTTAAGATTTATTGTTAAGATTTTAAAAATAAAATTTAAAAAATTTTATAAAATTTTTTAAAAGATACCGAATACCGGCCGGTATACCGAAAATGTTGAGACGGTATTTTCCGGTATCGGTATTTTTCCGGTATACCGATACCGTACCGGTCAATTTTTGTAAAAACGGTATTTTTCGGTATCGGTATTTTTTCGGTATACCGATACCGAATACCGGAAAAGGTCATTGCCGAACACTAATTATTATAATGTATTTGTCCACAACGTTGTTAATGAAAAGAGCAAAAAAAAGTTGGTATAGTTTAATTAATGTAAAGCATTTTTAATGTCATAATAATATAAAAATTATTTTTTAATTTTTTTGAATTTATACAAAAACATCGGATTGGTGACGATATTAAAGAATATACAGTTAATTTTTTCGCAACAAAAATATGGACCAGAAAATACATTGAGCTTAAAGGAAAGAAAAATAATGAAGAAATGGAAAAAGCCAAAAAAGAACTTGCAAAATATTTCCAGAAAGTTAAGAATGGAGAAACAATTTTTTTATTTAAACAATGTTTTGATTTATACAATTCTACTATTGGGAAAAACAAACAGAATACCGAGGTCCTTCAAGGAAGCGGAAAGAAAAAAGATTTTGTTGACTTCCCAGGAAAAAATGTAAAGATAATTTTTTATATGTCATAAATAAATTTTTGTTTGTGTTAAAATTAGAGCTCGGGAGAGATTATAATCAAGAAGCCAAAATTTGTTCGAGCCAAAAATTTGTTCGCTATTCCCTAATTTTCACATATTTAAAATTAAAAGCTTTCGGGGACGGGATAAAACCCTATTTATTATACACCAAAAAGCTTCAGTTTCTTTTAATTTTATAATTTTCTAGCAAAATGTTCCATCGCTTAAACATGGTAGTTTTTATAAAAGAATTTTTTATAAATAAATATTTAAGTTTTGGGAGGTAATTATTTTTTATAAAAGATGTGTAAAATTTTCTTAAATTAAATACAAAAAAATTATTAATTTTAGAAAATCAAAAGAAATATCATAAAGGAATTGAGATTATTAATCTTGATGATGATGAAGAGGAAATGTATCCTGAGGAAATAAGTAATGTATTGGTTATTTTTTATCACCATTTTACATCAACATTCTCTTCATTATTTATGGATTAAGGACCCTGATAACTTAATTCGACCAAAATTTTTCATTTTTAAGCGTATTAACCATCTGAAAATTCAAAAATTCATGTTAAACGCTGCCTACTTCTTGATATCTAAAAATTCATTTAGTTAAGTCTAGTCCTATATAATGCAATTTAAACAAAAAACCTTAGTTTACCCCTCTATATTCCCATGATAGTTGCTTCCAGCGACAACTGGATACCCGGACCTTCACAATCCCGACAACCCCAGCTGCGGACTCATCACATCCGAAGGATCAGGCTTCAACTAAAGTTAAAAATTTTTTAAGATTTTTTGTCAATGATGGAGAACAACGAGATGAGTAAAATGGATGAAGAGAGTGAGTTAAAACTAGGTAAAATTTGTTAAATTTTTAAAATACAATTAGCTATAGTACTTATTATAACCTCCGAGTTAATATTTCAAAAAATTTTATGTGAATAGAGAACCAGAATTAAGAATTAAGGTTGCTTGTCTCGCAGAATTAAGGTTACAAGTACAAAACCGTCTAAAAATCTGAGTTTAGTCTTTTTATTAATGTCTTTCATTTGAATATGTCACAGGGTAATAAGTTAAAATTGAGGAATGAAGAAAGTCTGACAATTTTGTACATATAGAGGAAAATCTTGAGACTCAAAATAGTGAGGGTTGGTATATCCATAAAATACCGAAAACTGGGGGGGGGGGGGGGGGGGTAGTTTATAATTTTTCTAGAATAATGTTAAAAATAATTTTGTTAAAGATTTGTTCTCGGAACATGCTAAGGATAAACATGTCGAAGAATCACATAAAAAGGGTAAGAATTTAGTTTTATTTTGCTAATATTTCCGAATAGGGTAAAAATCAGAACCAAACCGAAGAAACAAGGGGGTTTTCGACTACGTTTTTCGGTTTTCTGATATTCGAAGAGTTTTCAAGAATTAACAGCCCTATTCAAAATAATTGCGGCAATTTTAGTGAGTCTTATTGTTAGTTTATTCATGCGGAATATCTTTTTTTATAAATTTCCCCAAAAATAAATCAAGGAAATTTAAACAAATTAAAATTTTAGATCTTAAATTGACCTTGTAAAAAAGAAAACAAATCGCAAATTGAAAGAATGTCCAAAATGTAGGTTTTATTAAATATAAACAGGCTGACCTCGGTTTAAATACTTCATGGTGCTCCCCATTTACAAACAAAATAAGAATCGTGCGAGTAAATTAGGAGTATTTAAATTTGGATGATTTAAAACCAGTGCATGACTGTCAATATATAATTTAAAAACTTATAATTTAGGAAGAATGTACATACCTACCTTGTATATATTTGAAAAACGAGAAACAATTATCTTTATTTATTTCATTTTTTTAAATATTTTAAACACATTTACCTCGTTTATCCTCTAAACATATGTACATATTCACAGCCCTGTATAATTAACGTTGTGTTATTGTTAACATGTATATTCATTGAGATAGGACTGGGAGTTTCGTACGAGAATCGAGATCTCGAAAAATTCTCGATCTCGATAACCGAGTTCGGTCCGGTCTCTATTATTCATAATGCAGGTTGTCCAGTCTTATTAATGGGAAAGTTTTGTTTCTTTGAATGGGATTCTAATTTCGCATTAATCTAGTTTAGCCGGTTAGATTATAATCAAGAAGCCAAAATTTGTTCGAGCCAAAAATTTGTTCGCTATTCCCTAATTTTCACATATTTAAAATTAAAAGCTTTCGGGGACGGGATAAAACCCTATTTATTATACACCAAAAAGCTTCAGTTTCTTTTAATTTTATAATTTTCTAGCAAAATGTTCCATCGCTTAAACATGGTAGTTTTTATAAAAGAATTTTTTATAAATAAATATTTAAGTTTTGGGAGGTAATTATTTTTTATAAAAGATGTGTAAAATTTTCTTAAATTAAATACAAAAAAATTATTAATTTTAGAAAATCAAAAGAAATATCATAAAGGAATTGAGATTATTAATCTTGATGATGATGAAGAGGAAATGTATCCTGAGGAAATAAGTAATGTATTGGTTATTTTTTATCACCATTTTACATCAACATTCTCTTCATTATTTATGGATTAAGGACCCTGATAACTTAATTCGACCAAAATTTTTCATTTTTAAGCGTATTAACCATCTGAAAATTCAAAAATTCATGTTAAACGCTGCCTACTTCTTGATATCTAAAAATTCATTTAGTTAAGTCTAGTCCTATATAATGCAATTTAAACAAAAAACCTTAGTTTACCCCTCTATATTCCCATGATAGTTGCTTCCAGCGACAACTGGATACCCGGACCTTCACAATCCCGACAACCCCAGCTGCGGACTCATCACATCCGAAGGATCAGGCTTCAACTAAAGTTAAAAATTTTTTAAGATTTTTTGTCAATGATGGAGAACAACGAGATGAGTAAAATGGATGAAGAGAGTGAGTTAAAACTAGGTAAAATTTGTTAAATTTTTAAAATACAATTAGCTATAGTACTTATTATAACCTCCGAGTTAATATTTCAAAAAATTTTATGTGAATAGAGAACCATAATTAAGAATTAAGGTTGCTTGTCTCGCAGAATTAAGGTTACAAGTACAAAACCGTCTAAAAATCTGAGTTTAGTCTTTTTATTAATGTCTTTCATTTGAATATGTCACAGGGTAATAAGTTAAAATTGAGGAATGAAGAAAGTCTGACAATTTTGTACATATAGAGGAAAATCTTGAGACTCAAAATAGTGAGGGTTGGTATATCCATAAAATACCGAAAACTGGGGGGGGGGGGGGGGGTAGTTTATAATTTTTCTAGAATAATGTTAAAAATAATTTTGTTAAAGATTTGTTCTCGGAACATGCTAAGGATAAACATGTCGAAGAATCACATAAAAAGGGTAAGAATTTAGTTTTATTTTGCTAATATTTCCGAATAGGGTAAAAATCAGAACCAAACCGAAGAAACAAGGGGGTTTTCGACTACGTTTTTCGGTTTTCTGATATTCGAAGAGTTTTCAAGAATTAACAGCCCTATTCAAAATAATTGCGGCAATTTTAGTGAGTCTTATTGTTAGTTTATTCATGCGGAATATCTTTTTTTATAAATTTCCCCAAAAATAAATCAAGGAAATTTAAACAAATTAAAATTTTAGATCTTAAATTGACCTTGTAAAAAAGAAAACAAATCGCAAATTGAAAGAATGTCCAAAATGTAGGTTTTATTAAATATAAACAGGCTGACCTCGGTTTAAATACTTCATGGTGCTCCCCATTTACAAACAAAATAAGAATCGTGCGAGTAAATTAGGAGTATTTAAATTTGGATGATTTAAAACCAGTGCATGACTGTCAATATATAATTTAAAAACTTATAATTTAGGAAGAATGTACATACCTACCTTGTATATATTTGAAAAACGAGAAACAATTATCTTTATTTATTTCATTTTTTTAAATATTTTAAACACATTTACCTCGTTTATCCTCTAAACATATGTACATATTCACAGCCCTGTATAATTAACGTTGTGTTATAGTTAACATGTATATTCATTGAGATAGGACTGGGAGTTTTGTACGAGAATCGAGATCTCGAAAAATTCTCGATCTCGATAACCGAGTTCGGTCCGGTCTCTATTATTCATAATGCAGGTTGTCCAGTCTTATTAATGGGAAAGTTTTGTTTCTTTGAATGGGATTCTAATTTCGCATTAATCTAGTTTAGCCGGTTTGTGTTTCTGTAATCTGTTTAAACTTTTTAACGTTAAAGTTCCTGAACTGAAACCTCATTGTATTAATACCTGATTTAATTTGTTCAAATAGTTTTTGATTATAGTAAAAACTAATATTTGTAGCTTAAATATTAAAAATATCACAACGTTAGTTAATAGAGACGTCTGAGAACATTAAGACCAAGAGTATATTCCAAGTTCAAGATTCGAGACTATGTTATGACTCAAGGACAAAAATTTAATTACAAAGTTATTAGGCTTGATTCAAAGTATTTTCTAATCTTATTATACTTTAGCGCTACAGAAGAAATTCAGAGATATTTAAAAGTAAAGGCTTAAATATTACCCAACCTAAGGCGTATTTATGAAAGTCTAAAATGTTGGGATCACTTTACCTCAATATTAGGACCAACCCCCCCCCCCCCCCCCCCCCCCAAGGAAAATTTTATGTAAATAATCAAAACGAGTCTCGGACGTCTCTACTATTAGTTACCCCACAGATTTGTAAATATTTTTTCGTTATTATTAATTTTTCAGATTGTCTAGTCATAACGGAGAGTGTTTTTGGGTATTTAAAATATGTAGGTTCAAAAACTCCAAAGAAGGTCGAAATAGATTTATGAATTAAAAGCCGGAATACCTTTTTAGCTAACTTGAAACAGTTTTTTCGACTTATATCATCCTAGGCTGATCATAAAAACTGGTAAAAACCTTAAAAACACGCTCTTGTCATGACCAGTGATTCGAAATTTCGACATATGTACATTGCATGTATTTCAACAACAGTAAATATTTGAATTTTTTTAGCATAAATTATTCATACATATACCTATCTAATAGTTATAAAAGGTTTGCACTATTTGTAATGAAGTGTGCCTTCATATTTTTCCTTCTTTCCTTGCATTAAATAGAAAGTAGAGTTCGAACACGGACCGGTTTTTTCCGGGCCCGGTGGCCCGGAACCGGGTATTTTTGAGAAAACCCGGTTTTTCCGGGCTAATCGGTTTTTCCGGTTTTATCCGGAAAAACCGGTCCGGGTGCGATTTTGAGAAAAAACCGGGTTCCGGGCCCGGCATTTTTAAAAGTTCGAACTCTACTAGAAAGTGTCAATATTCCTTAGTGTTAATTACAATGAATAGGGTTAAGTGCTCAACAAAACTAGGGATGGGCCGGCTTACCCGAAACCCGGACTTTTTTCCAACCCGAAACTCGACCAAATTGGCGCAACAACGTAAACCTATGGAGCGTCGGCGAGGCGCTTGTGCAAAACCCCGATCGAGGCTTTTTTTATCATGTCGTTTCTGCATCTATTAAGATATATAACCGCATTTACTCACAAGAATTAGCTAGCAATACATTTATAGTTATAAAAATCATATGTGTTTAGGCCTAACTAATTTTATGAAAAAATTGAAAACAAAACCTAAACATTATAGGTATGCAGTAAATAGTACTACATATATTTTTTATGATATTTTACTTCTAAAACCATTTTACACCAATATAATTTCAGATTTTCTGTTTGTTTGACTTTTTAAAATTTAAAAAATTTTTATATTAATTTTATTTCATTTAGAAATTAATATTACGAAAGATGATGGCTAGACATAGACGGCAGATTTTTTTATATATTTAAACATTAAATGACGTAAAATAAAATTTGTTTATAAATTAAAGGGCATTTAAGGATATTCACGTGTTGCACTCGGAATGTCTTTTTTTAAAATAATTTTTCTTATTTCAAAATAAATTTACATAATTAAACAATAATGTACGGCAAAATAAATATGTTTATTTAATTGACCAAAAAATAATTTCTTATTTAATATTAATCTTTAATTAATTAAATAAAATAATTTTTAATTTATTAACCAATTTGTAATTTAAAAAATGAATTGTTTAAAATATTTATTTAAATTATTAGTATTTTTATTTTTTATTCAAATTATTAACGGGACAATAAAGCAAGGAAAGAAGAGGGTAATTAATAAATTCTCTTGAATATTTTTTTGTCATAATTATTTTAGAAATTCAATAATATTGATAATGAATTTATGGATACTTCTCGACAAATATCTACTTCTGTCGATGACGAAATTGAAGAATTAAATATTTTTGATATTTTTTATATTTTTGTGGAATTTGTTTATTATTTTTAAAGGTGACTCAGTGAGTCACTTTCACTTTTTGACAATTTTTTATGTACTTTTTGCAATGTACTTTACATTGCATCATTTTTATAATAGAAATTTTTGCCTATAAAAAGTAGGCAAAAATTTCACTTTTTCAATATCTTTTTTCGATATTCATTTTTTATAATATTCTGTGTGAATATTTGTTTTGATTGAGGATAAAGATTTTTAGTTGTATTTGTGTTAAATTTATTTGTTTATTTATCTAGATTAATTATTCTGTTGAATAATTAATCTGAGATATTTTCCCTATAAATTAAATAGGAAGGTAAAAAGAAAATCCTCTCTGAGGATAAGCATTTTTTACATTTGGTGCCACGAACCCTTACGAAGGAGGGAGTGAGATTTAAAATTAAAAGAATAATAAAGAGCTATAGGCTCAGATTATTGGAAGAGCTATATTTTGGAAAGCTCGTTAAAAATTTTTTAATTGAAAATTAAAATAAATAATTAAATTTATAGTGTTTTAAAAATGTCGGGGACTATACGGCAAGCCATGACGCCGGCTATAACTCGTTTACGCGAGCATTTTGAGGAGATACGCCCAGTTTTAGACGCCCAAGAGCGCACAGCTGAAGGAATAGAAATGTTAAGGACAAGATTAGTTAAAGTTCGACGTATAATAAATCGTCTTGAGGAAAAAGCCAATCAGTGGCAAGATTATATTCGAGGACTTCCAGCTAATGAAAGACAAGCGGAAGAACAGGTTTTAGCTAACTTTGCTCCATTGGAGCATCATTATGCGGAATGGATAGAAAACGCACATGAACTAATTGCAGATATTGAGATTGTTTTGGCTGAGTCTGAGGACGGCAGCACTCAATCCGATTTGTCAGTAGAGTTGGGAGTTGGCCAAAATAGACTGAATCAATCAAGAAGGCCACAAGTTTTTGTAAATGAAGGGCATACGCCGTTAAATGAGAATTTTGTTCGTAGGAATGAGTATAATATTCCTACACATTTGCCTAGAAATAGATTAGCTGAGTTCTATGGAGATCCTCTTGTTTGGCCAGAATTTTGGCAATCATTTAGTAGGACTGTTGACAGTTTAGAAATTGATCCAGGCCTTAAAGCACATTATTTAATACAGTGCTTGAGAGGAAAGGCCAAGAGAGCGGTTTTGGGTTATCGACCGATAGCCGAACATTATGAACCGCTAAAAGATGCATTAAAAAGGCAGTTCGGCAATGAAAGAGCTATAAGAGATACGCTTCATGCCGAATTGATAAGCCTTCCTGTGGCAAATGAGTCTGTTTATTCCCTTCGTTCATACGTTGAGGAAGTTGAAAGAATTTGTAGATCCCTCACAGCGATGGGAAAAGTCGAAGAGTAAGAAGTTTGAGATCTTTTGCTATTTTTGCCACGGAAACCATCATGCTGAGAAATGCGAAATAATAAAAGCGATATATCTGAGGACAAAAATTTTGTCAGAGCAAAATCGTTGCTTACTCTGTTTAAGAAAGGGTCATACATTGGAAAATTGTGAGTCCAGAATTAATTGTAATATTTGTAGAGAACGGCATAATAAATTAATATGTCCGAAATTGTATAAAAATGGAGAAAATAAAAAAGATTTTAGAAAAGGTAAGCAAGTAAATCATCTAGAAACTTCAGAAAAGTTACTTACTATAGTAGAAGAACCAAAAGAGTTTGAAAAAGAAAAGAAAGGACAGATTAAGAAAGATGAAAGTGTTAATCAAATAAATAAAAATATACTTAATAATGAAGATAATGGCGAAGGAAATGTTGTTTTAATGAAAGCAGACTTAATGTTGAAGGAAAGAAATAATAAAATAAATGTAAAATGCTTCTTTGATTCAGGAGCAACGGTCAATTTCTTATGTAATGAAATAGTTGAGAAATTAAAATTGAAAAAATTAAAAAGGACAGAATTAGGCGTTGTGCCATTTTTCAGAAAAGAGCCAATAAAGCTAAAAACTTCGTGTTATTCTTTAAAGGTTCTTCTTGATAATGGAAATTTTGAAGAAATAATTGTTTATAGTATTAATAAGAATTTGATGCCAAGATTTAAATGCGCAGATTTAAGAACAAATGAAATAGTCTGCGCAAATATAGTCCCTGATATGCTTATAGGGATGAAGCATTTTTGGAGGTTCTTTAAAAGAATAGAGCCTTTATCCGATTATTTATTTAAAGTTGAAACAACTGTAGGGCCAATAATTTGTGGTGAAATTAGCGGTGAAAAATTTAGAAAGTTAAATAAAAAGGAAAATTTATGTACTATATTAAGTTCCAACACTTTGGAAAATGAGGAACTTAACAATTATTGGTCATTAGAGACAATAGGAGTCAAAGATGATCCTGTTTGTAAAGATGATAAAGTTGCTTTGGACTTATTTAATAGTACAATTTAAAGAAATGAAAATGGAAGTTACATAGTAAAATGGCCATGGAAAATTGAAAGAGACAGTTTGACATCTAATTTTCCATTGGCATATAAAAGATTTCTAAATTTAATGGATAAATTAAAAAAGAATCCAGATTTATTAGATAAATATGAGGAAATAATTAATAATGATCTAGAAAGAGGTGTGATTGAAGAGTCTGAAAGGAAGAAAGGTGAAATAGAACATTTTCTGCCTCACCACCCAGTTATTAATACAAAAAAGGTGCGAATAGTTTATGATGCCTCGGCAAAACTTCGAGAAGGAAAAAGTTTAAATGAATGCTTATACCGAGGGCCAATAATTATGCCAGATTTAGCAGGATTATTAATTCGATTCAGAGTGCCAAAAATTGCCATGTGGGCAGATATTGAGAAGGCATTCCATACGTTAGAATTGGAAGAGGAAGATAGAGAAGTAACCAAGTTTATATGGGTTAAAAATACTAAAAAACCCATATCAACTCAAAATATTCGATATTTAAGATTTGCAAAAGTTCCCTTTGGGGTTATTTCTAGTCCATTTTTGCTATCAGCTACTGTCAGACATCACTTAGAGAAGTGTGATGACCCAGTTGCAAAGATTGCTAAAGAAAATTCCTATGTGGATAATATATTTATTGGAGTAGAATCGGCCAATGAAGCTTGGCTCGCATACAAAAGATTAAAAGAGATATTTAAAGATGCACAAATGAATTTGAGAGAATTCATTAGTAATAATATGGAGCTTAATGAAAGTTTCCCACTCGAAGATAGGCTGGAAAAGAATAAGCCTAAAATTTTGGGAATACCATGGGACATATCTACTGATAAGATAAATATTGTTTTTCCAAAAGTGGAATTAAATGAGAAAATAACTAAAAGAATAGTTCTTAGTGAACTAGCAAGTATGTTTGATCCTTTAGGACTTGCATCTCCTAGTATTTTATCAGCAAAATTGTTCTTTCAGTCTTTGTGGACTAAAGAGAATAAATGGGATGATAAGATTAGTGTCGAAAATGCAATGAAATGGAAAGAAATCACCAATTCATGGATAGTAGATCCCATCGAAATTAATAGAAGAGTTACTGATATTAAAAGCGAAAAACAATTACATGCATTTTCTGATGCATCAAAATGTGCTTATGCTGCTTGCATATATATTAAATCGGAATTTGAAGGAAAAATTCATACACAAATATTATATGCGCGAAATCGTTTAAAACCTAGAAAAGCAGAGGTTACAATACCACGCATGGAACTTTTAGGCGTGGTTATTGCTAAAAGAGCTTTAGAATTTGTAGAAAAACAAATCGGAGTTGAAATAAAAGACAAATTTTTATGGTGTGATTCAAAGCCAGTATTAAGCTGGATAAAGGCCGGAGGTAAAAATGAAAAATTTGTAGAAAATAGAATAAAAGAAATAAGAAAAAATAATGGAATAAAATTTGGTTATGTTAATACTATTGATAATCCAGCAGATATAGCCACTCGCGGTATAATGGCATCTGAATTAGAAAAATGCCGTATCTGGTGGGAAGGCCCTGATTGGTTAAAGAGATCTGAAAATAATTGGCCAAATGAATTAAATTTTGAAATTGAAAAAGAAAACGAGGATGATGATGATAATCAAGAATTAGTATTAAATTGTTCGAATAAAAATATAAATGATGAAGAAAATCTAACAAATTTTAATAATTGGAATTCATGGAATAAATTAATTAAATGTATTATGTTTGTAAGTATAGCAGTTCGTATCTGGATAGAAAAGAGCAGAAAAATTATAAAAGGAAAATTTCTTAGCGAAATAAATTTAGAAAATCGTATGTCAGCAAGTAATTTCAAAAAAGTTGAAATTTTTATTTTAAGAATTGCGCAAAGTTCTTATAAAAAAGAAAAGAACGAAAATTTACAGAAAATAATTGATGAAAATGGATTAATAAGATTAAAAACAAGGATTAGTAATTGTGAAGCGGAAGATTATTTTAAACATCCGATTTTACTGCCTAAAGGGTGTTTTGCCATTAAACTTTTATTGAGAAAAATACATGAAGAATTGAGTCACTCGGGAGTTGACTCAACAGTTGCAAACTTTTTAATGAAATTTTGGACACCATGCGCAAGGCGCATAACATAAATTGTTATAAAAGAGTGCAAAAAGTGCCAAAGAATCAGTTCACCTAAGTTTGCACTGCCAGATATGCCTATATTGCCTAAAGAAAGAGTAAGACAATCACGTCCATTTGAATTTGTTGGAGTGGATTATCTCGGCCCTTCTATGTGCAAAATAGAAGGAGGAAAAGTCAAGTTTTGGATTGCACTCTTTACATGTTTATCAACGAGAGGAATCCATTTAGACTTAATTACAGATCTATCTGCACTCTCATTTTTAGATATTTTAAGAAGATTTGTAGCGCAAAGAGGCGCACCAGTCAAGATAATTTCAGACAATGGCAATCAGTTTATAACTGTTGCAAAGGTAATAAATGCCAATATTGAAGGTAAATGGAAGAAAGAAAAAGCAAATAATGATGAAACGATATTTAATAATTTTTTATTAGAAAAAGAGATTGAATGGAAATTCATACCTGCTCTGTCTCCGTGGCAGAGTGGCGTTTATGAACGATTAGTAAAATTAGTTAAAGATTCATTTAAAAGATCTCTTGGAAGTCGTATATTAAAAATAGAAGAATTGAGAACATTTATAAAGGAAGTAGAAATGTCTATAAATTGTAGACCAATTTCTTACATATCGGTAGAAAAAGATGGGCCATCATGCCTGAGGCCAATTGATTTTATAATACCAAGCGTGGAAATTATTCAAAAATTTCCAGAAATTGAAGACGATAATTTTCGATTAGGAAAAATGAGCACGGCTGAACAAGTCCAAGAAAGATGGATAGCCACTTTGAAAACGCTTCAAAAGTTTTGGGATGCTTGGAAGCGTGATTATCTCATAATGTTAAGAGATAAAGCAAAGTGGACTCATCATAATCAAAGAAATGATTTAAAAAGAAGTCCAAGAATTGGCGAAGTTGTTATTGTCCATCAAGAAGGACAACCTCGTAATGTATGGCCATTGGGAAAAATAGTTGAATTGGATGGCACTCCAGCCAGAAGCGCAAAGATAAAAATAGGAGATAAAACTTTTATACGCCCAATTAATAAAATCTCTCCTTTGGAGATTGAAGATGAGAATATAGTTGGAGAAAATTTAAATAATGAGAATGAACAAGAAGATATATTGGACTTGAGTAAAAAGGAACCTGAAAAGTTAGTGAATAAAAATAAAAATACTCATCCGATGGTTACAAGATCGAAAGCGGCTTTGTGCCTACAATTTATGCAATTAATATATTTAATTGCAATTGCATTTGCTCAGCCATCAAGATATATAAATTGTAAAGGTTGTTTTATGAAGTGTAGAACTTTTGGCGTAGAAGCTAACGCAGTTGATTATATAAATAAAATTGAATTATGTTGCGCGGGAAGCTGCTTATTAGAAATAAATGGCATGTCAAGATTAGTATTTAAAATACCAAAAGATAAAACAGCATTGGATTATAAATGCCGAGCCACTTATTGGGGCAAAAGATACATGTATAGAGACTGGATTTCGTGTCCAGCAGTTGATCCATGTATAAGAATATCAGGTTTTCGTGAAAGAATAGTTAATCCTCAGTGCGAATCAATAGAAAGTTTATTATTGATTGGAATTGTAGCAGGATTTATTCTGACTATTATTCTATCGATAGCACTATTTGCCTGTAAGCTCTTACTAATTTTCGGAAAACTATTAAAAATAATTTGGAATATTGTTAAAATACCGATGGAAGTATTTTTTGCTCAGAAGAAAAATAAACAAAAAGATATAACTGAAAAATTATTATTGAATAATAGAAATAAAGTTAAAAATAATAAAATATTAAAGAGGAATAGAAGATTGAATAAATTAAGTTTTATGGCATTATTAGCCATATTTTCTATCTTTTTGGAATTAATTAATGGAGAAATTGAAGTAGTAGTTATACAAGCTAAATCTGAAGATTGTCAAAGAAAAGGAGGCATTTCTACTTGTAAAATGAATGCCGTGAATACTGTGACTCTCTTGCCAAATGAGCAAATAAATTCGCTCTCGCTAAAAAATAATAAAGGAATAATAATGGGAGAGCTAGAATTATCAATGCATGGATTGCAAATCCAATGCAATCAGAAAATACTTAGATATTTGAGATCTTATGAAGTCAAAGTTCAGTCAATCAAAAGATGCCCAGCTGCAGGAACATGTAAAGCTGGAAGATGTAATCACATTAGAACAAAAGATTATGTTGAAGAATTATCAGAATGGAATGATTATCCTGGTAATTCATTTTGTATTGAAGGAAAATCACTTTGGGGATATGGCTGTTCGCTGCCTGGAGCAGACTGCTATTTTTATAGAGTGTATGCCATACCAAAGTCAGATGAGATTTTTAAACTTGTGTCCTGTCCTACGTGGGATTATAGTATTGAAGTAGACATAGGACTCGTAATAAATGGAAGTATGACAAAAAAGAGATTTACTCTTAATCCAGGAATAACATTTAAATGGAAAGATATAAAATTTACTTTATTGGATATTACACCTCCAATGGCACCTGTTTTAAACAGTGAATTTATTATTGGAGAAAGAGGAATTGCAATTTCAGAAAATAGCAATTCTTATCTGGAGTGTTATGAAACGGCCGGAAATTTTTCAAAATGTGAATTAGAAACTAATGCATGTAAAGAATGTTGGTTAGAACAAGATATTGAGAAAATACGATGCGCATGTTCTGACTTTATTATTGAAAAATTAATAAAAGACCCGCGCAAATCATTACCATTGGAGATAAATCGTATAAGATTAAGAAGAAAAGAAAACATGATTATTAGTGAATCTAACTATTTACCAATCATGTTAATGATAAGATTTGAAGACTGGTCAATTTCTAGTAATACAGACATAACATATTGTAAAATAGAACCCGAATATTTAAAAGGTTGCTATAGCTGCATGGGAGCTATTTTTAAATTTAATTGTTCTACCGAATATGGATCGGCTTACGCTGAAATAAAATGCCCCGGAGGCAATATCTTCACAGCGAAATGTAATGAAAAAGGGATTGATCAAAAGATCGCACTTTCGTTTGATCATTCGGAGATTAATGAGATTTGTAATGTCTATTGTTCGGGAGGAATTACAAATTTCACATTAAAAGGACAATTAGAATTTATTTTACCAGAAAAGGCAAAGGTTATAGTAAAAGAAGGATCATCTAAAATATTCATAGAAAATAGTGAAAACAATTGGTTAACAAATCCATTTGCAAGTTTCCAATTTCTTGATTGGAAAAACATACTCGTTGATTTGATTAGTATACAAATGATATTTATGATTATTTTATCGTTTGTATTGATAATTATTGCGTTGAAGCTATTTTTAAAATATAATCCATTCTTTCGCGGATACAAACTCGCCGCATCGGCGTTTGTAATTACGCTTCTGGCGGGAGGTACACATTCTTCATGTGTAGAAAGATTGAAAAATGAAAGAGATTTAATTAAATTTGAAGAAATTAATATAATGTTAGAAGCCTGTGTGACTATACCTGAAAAGAATAAAATACAGATGAAGGAAATTGATTATAAAAATTTTCGAAGAGAGACAATTCTGAGTAATAAGAAGGAGGATAAAAGATCTCCTGTACAAAAGATACAAGAGAACCAGATAAGACAATTTCAGGTCATTCGGACTATCTCACAGGACTTCCCCTCATCTCTTTCAACTAATGCTTCTGCTCCAACAACAAAAAAGACTCTACATCAAAAGCAATCATCAAACAAACAAAAATACAAGAATTATCTGATAAAGCTCCAATGCGGCATACAAATAGAAAGTATTCTTCTCGTCACACATTCGGACATACAACAAATAATTAAAGGCAATGACAACAGCACCTCACCAAAGTCATTGCCAAAAACAGAATCTTCTACAAACTCAAGCGCTCTTCGATTATCATCACACGAACTTGCCAATATGTCGCATCAATGTTCAACTCTCTTCTTCAATGCAACTACAAAGAACATGGAGAGATGAGAGGATTCTTGGCGGGGAGTGTCGATGACGAAATTGAAGAATTAAATATTTTTGATATTTTTTATATTTTTGTGGAATTTGTTTATTATTTTTAAAGGTGACTCAGTGAGTCACTTTCACTTTTTGACAATTTTTTATGTACTTTTTGCAATGTACTTTACATTGCATCATTTTTATAATAGAAATTTTTGCCTATAAAAAGTAGGCAAAAATTTCACTTTTTCAATATCTTTTTTCGATATTCATTTTTTATAATATTCTGTGTGAATATTTGTTTTGATTGAGGATAAAGATTTTTAGTTGTATTTGTGTTAAATTTATTTGTTTATTTATCTAGATTAATTATTCTGTTGAATAATTAATCTGAGATATTTTCCCTATAAATTAAATAGGAAGGTAAAAAGAAAATCCTCTCTGAGGATAAGCATTTTTTACAACTTCTTCTAAATTAAATTTAGAAAAAGAATTAAACGAAACAACAAAATATTCTTTAAATAATAATCTGAATAATGAAAGAAAGTTTATTCGTGTACATCGAAATAAAGGAAAAAATCCTAATAGTTTACCTTCATCACCAACCCATATTTCAAATAATTCCTTTATTGGCAAGGATCAAATGAGCGACGTAATTATTTTTAATTTTTTAAAATTTTTAATTATTTGGGATTTAATAAAATAAGATTGTCAATTAAAAGATCATAATTAATTAAAAATAGAGAACGGACTTTATGAACAATCTCAATAAAAAGGATCTAGAAAGTCCTCAGAATTATCTAACATAAGTAATAATAGTTAATTGTTTGTGACACTAATTTTTTGTTTAGTAATTGAATCTTTCAGTATTTTCTAACAAAATTAACTCCAAAATTGCCTTTTCCTTATTTAAAAGTTTTTAAAATAATTATAAAATTTTAGGAAAATTTTTCAATATTTGATAATTATTTACTTATAAAATCCCTAAATAATATTCAAATAGAGGAGAAAGAAGAAAGACCTAAACAAAAACGTCGAGTGTCAAACTAATATTCAGACAATCATGAAATATGAGATTAAAATAAAATTTTAAACTATAAATTTGGAGAAAAGGAACAAATTTAACATAAAAGTGATTGGGTTATAATTTTCTTTTAGTAATTATTTTAATTTAATTTCAACTTTATTTCAACATTTTAATCGTAGAATTTATTTAATTTATATTAAAAATAAAAAATTTAAATTCGTTCTTATACAAAAACTTTATATAAAATTTTTTTATTTAACGTTATGTCTTTTAAATTTCACTTAAAACTTGCTAAACATTTCGATAATTCTTTAAATTCCTTGGATCTATTAATTTTTATAGATTCTAGGGAATTATGTATAATGTGGTGAGAATCGAGATGGAAATAACGGGATTTTTGAAAATTAAATAATTAATAGTTTAATAAATTATGTAGACGTTTTTTTCAATTTACAAAGTCTGTTGTCCTTTACTAAAATAGTAAAATAAATTTTATTTAAATATATCGTGTTAAATTAACAAATTATTCTAAAATATAGTGATTCATCAAAATAAAAATAAATTGTAATTATTTAATATATAAATTATTATCATCAAGTCAATTAAATAATTAATTTTACTTAAAATAAAATTTAATTTGAATTTTATTCGAACAAAATATTTTAAGGAAAATATTAAAAAATAAAAATGAAATATTATTTATTAATTAACTCAATTATATTTATTTCGTTTAATTTGGATTTTGGAGGTATTTTTAAATAATTAAATATTTTATTAAACATTGAAAAACTGAAGTAATCCTAAAAACAAGTGAATAGCAACATAAATAATCCTATTCTGATGGAATAGGATAACTTGCTGAGAGATATGCTGGGAGATAAGTCCTTCATGTTATAGTCCAACGTTATATTTAGACGGAATTGAAAGTAGGGGTTGATAAAAGAAAGTTTAGGGGGTGAAATCTAATTTTAAAAATTGGATTGTTTAAAAACTTATCGCCAGGAACTCGTTTACATTAATGGGAACTTCAAACGAGATTTCATTAATTAAATAATATAAATGTGTATATGTCACAGTCCAAATTACAGTACAATAACGAATTGTATTTGGCCGTCAAATTACATTTAGATTGCGGAACTAGTCCGAATTATTTCCGGATAAAGAAAAGTACTATTAGTTGCAAGGATGAGTAATAAGAGAATGAGAAAAACAAAACTAATAGTGTGTTTTAGGATATTAATGTAAGTTGAAACGTAATTTGTACTAAATCGCAACTCAAAGTAATTTGGCCGGCTAACTGTAATTTGGTTTATTTAAATACTTATACGTAGATACATACAAATGCTATGATGAAATCAATTTTCTAAGTAATGACTCAAAATATGTAAAAGTTAAAAGCGACCCTTGTGATACAAATAATTTCCTACTTGATGTGAAATGTATCAAATTTGATTGTGGAATGAGTTTGTTTATTTATTTATTGGGCTGGCCAAAATATGCATACAAAATCGCAGAGATGCGCATATTTCAAAATGTGCGCTAGATATTAAACAAAATTAACTAATTTTTATCAGAAATTTAAATAAGTTAATTTTGATACATGTTTTGGCTAGCCTTATTTATAATTATCTGCTTATATTTTGAAGTAATTAATTATTATATATGTATATTTTGTGTAACGTAAAATATTTATTATAAGAAAAATATTTCTAAGAAATTTTTTATTTGTTTAAAAAGCTGGTTATATATATGGCTGTGGTATTTGTCAACACGAATCTCTTGAGAAAGATGGCCATTTTTGCACTTGTCACGAATGTACAACAAATTTTTGTAATAAAGCTACAAAGAATATTTATCAAAATATAATTCCAAAGTTTCTTATTGTTATGATTGTTTTTCTTTTCTGATTGTTTTTGGTTTTGGGGGTAAAAAATCAAAGTAAATAATTATTATTACAAAATTTAAATAATTATTTTTAAATAAACATTTAAAAATTTTATACTATTTTTTAATCTCTTTTAATTTAGAATTATTTTTTATCGCATGAGAAGAAGGAAAAATTGAAATTATACATAAACAAAAATTATTAAAAATTTAAATTTAGTATCTAAATAAAATTATTGTATAAATAACTCTCGAAAACTAAAAAAAGATTTATTCTTTTACAATAAATACAGGATTTTACAACTTATACATATGTATATCGTCATAACTATTCTTTAAAATTTTTATAATTTAATAAGCATAGTATTCTTTGTACCAACGTGTCGATGCTTCAATACTTTTTTCTTTACTTTTTTTGTCATTCTTTTTATTTTTATTTGCTTTACGTTTCTGAAAAGTAAAAATGATTATCATTACTGACACCCTTTTCAAATACTTTATTCTAATATTTTTCCTTTACCAAATCAAATTTATATTTTAGAATGAAAAATATCCTTAAATATTAAAATAAATTTAAAAATCAAAGAAAATTATTTTTATTCTTGAACAGTTTATATATGTTTCAAAGAATTAATTGGCAAAAACCCCCAGAAATAACGCCTCAATTTTTTATTTTTCAAAAATCTTTACCCTACCTAGCCTTTAAATTAAAATCCTTCCAGTTATCTAAAATACCTTTCTGAACTTAACATAATCAATAACTTCTGATTTGAACACTGAAATTTTTTGTCACAAAAATTGTAATCAATTTTATAGGGCTGATACTACATTTTTTAAATAAAATTTATGTATAAATCAGAAGTCGGTCAGAATTCCTATTTCCGCCGTTTTTCCCTCCGATTTCCGAGTTTCGAAATTTTGATCAAATTTCTGATTTCCGATGACTTTTCAAGTATTTTTTCCAATTCTATTTATTCCAATTTTTATGATATAAATTAATTTATTAATTGCCACTAGATAATTTATATAAATTTATAAATTAATCTTTACCTTACGTGATGGCACTTCAGACCAAAAGCCACCACCATCATCATCATTATCTTGTGCCAAAACCCCTCGTTGATTTTCCATTTTTATCATTCCATCAAGAATAAATAAAGCAATAAAAATTAAAAATAATACTTTTATCATAATTTTAGAATTAATAAAATATTTTAGAATTATTAAATTTAAAAAATTAAAAATTAAATTAATGGAGATGATAAAAGATGCTTTAAACTAAAGCTTAACTAAAGCTTGCCATGATATTCTAAGCTAAGTAAATATAATAATTTATTTTAAATAAAATACCCCAACATTAAATTTAAAAAGAAGGTTCGAGATATTAAAAGTCGTGGTTTGTAACATTTTTTAATTCTAGAATATTGCCAATAAGATTGGGCAAATTTTTTAAAATTTTATTTCTATCAAGCGACACGTTTTAATTTTTTGTCAATTATTATTTCACTTCCCTTATACTTTTTATAAAGCTTCCGCCTTTTATTTTTCAAGTCTGGCCTATTCCATCAGGTGACCGAATTTCATGATGAATTTTTGAAGGGTAAAATAGAAAAAAAGAAGTCTCCTCACAAGAAAGCTCATGACTGGGGTTTCCGGGTCCGGTATTCCGGAAACTGCGGTATTTTTGTAAAATGTTTATTTATAAAGTAAAAGAAAATGACTAGGATTAAATATGATTAAATAAAAAACAATTTTAATTAATCATTTGTGTCAAATTTAAGCAAAAAATATTCTTGTTTCTAAACATTCTCATACTTTCTTTCCATTAAAAACAATAAAAATAATATTTGGCACTCTATAAATGAAAAATATTTAATTTAAATTTATTTAAAATCTAATAAATAGATGTTCATCTATTGGGCGGCATTTATTGTTAATAAAATTAAAGATTCTAAATAAATGTTTGAAAAAATTCAAAAATAGTAATAATAATATTTTTTCTTAACTAAATTTCCGCCTCTGTAATCTCTTTATAATAAAATTAAATTTTAATATTATTTTTTAACATTCTTTATAGTTTGAAATTTTACTTAATAAATTTTAGTAGTTTTTTTTGTTTAAAATATTTATTCAAATCACAACCCTCTACCCATTTTTAAAACAAGCTAAAATTAAATATATGGAAATGTTGTAATTTATTTTTAAAAAAATTAATTAAAGAATAATTCCTTTCATTCAAAACAATTATTTTAATTTAAATTAAAATAATTTTTTTATTTTTATTTTAAAAACTTGTTTTATTTTTTTATTAAAGTTGATACTTAAATTTAAAAATAATTAAAAGTTTGATTAATTAAGAGTAAATATTTTTTTTATTTTATTATAAATAAAGAAGGAAAATAAGTTTTAAGAGTTCATTAATTAAAAAAAAATTTAAATTAAAAATAATTACTAAATAAAATGAATTTTTTTCTTTTATTTCCATTTTTGTTAATTAATTTTTGTTATTTCACAAACGGTGAAAAAGCAACAATTGAACAATGTGACAATGCGATGGATGCTGATTATAAAGCTGACTGCAAGTTTGTCAATTAATTTAGAGATTAATAAAATAATTTAAACTTTTGATTGGTTAATTTAATACTTTAATATCCAATTTCTTTTTATTTTTATATTCGATATTTTTGTATTTTTAAAGTTTTCTCAGCCCTTTTTTCAATATACCTTTGTCTAGGAATTTTGTGAGACTTAAAAATCCATAAACGAATAAATTTTAGATGTTTAACTGATTTTCCTACATGTATGAAATCATTAGTATCTGAAGGAACGTGTACAAAAGACAATTATCCAAATAAAAACTTTATTGAAAAACCGTGCAGTAATGTGTATTCGAAATGTTCTTCGGCGAAAAATGGATGTGAAGCTGGTATCTGTGCATGCTTTGAGTAGGAAATTTAATACTATCTATTTTTTGAATTATTAAATAAAATGTTGGAATATATTAACAAAAGTTGGGGAATCTGAGAGATTCCGTTAATATTTGCCTCCACAACCTCAACAAAAACCTAAAAAATAATAACGGGTCACCCTGACTAAATTTTCCAATGGGAAGGGGAATCTAATATTTTTCTCGATATTCCCTATATTTCTCCACAAATAAGCCTCCAGTAAATCTTCATTTTTTTCAAAAATCTTTAATAAATTTATTTTATAATACTAATTTAATAATTTAAAATATAAAAATTAAAGTTCGATTGTTGATTGCTTGTTCAAAAATACATGTCAGTCTATACCAAAATTTACCGGCAGTTCAGCAGCAGTTAAACGTATATTTTTAATTTATACTTCTAAATTATAAAATTAAATATTTAGGCGTTCGAGCATCTGATAAAGCTATTAATTTTAACAATTTATTTGATACACATTTTGAAAAAATTGAATAAAGAAAATTAAAATAGATTAATAAATTTTTAGATTAATGAACATTGTAGCATTTATTTTAAAGTTGTAGCAGCGCCTTTCTTACAATATTACTTATGATATTTTTAATTAAATGATTTTAAAAATTTTTTGAAAAATTCAAAAGTTAAAAATACTTTCTCGTATTTGATATTTATAGAAATTAGAAAAATATGTATAATTACTTTCAGCCCTGCACACATTTTGAATAGTAAAGGCGTCTTCGCTCAACTTGCTAATTCATTAAATTGTAGCCTTGACTTCAATTATTTTCTAACCCCAATTCGAAACCCAGCATTTTCCAAAAATTTCCATTAAAAATTAAAACTAGCTTTTTGGCTTTCCAAGAGTAAAAAAATTTCCACACGGAGCGCTAAATATTAAATTTTTTGTCGCCTACGTCGTTAATTTATAGAATATTTCTATAAAAGTTAGAAAAAGAACATTTTGATAATTTTTAAGGAGTAATAAAAAATATTATTTAAAAATTTAATTGTTCAAGAAAGATTTTGTCAAAGAGTTAGTGGAAATTCTTGGCAAAAAAACTATAGTAACAATAAAATTAGTTATTGCCTTAATAATGGTAATAATGGAGTTGCATTAATTCAATTAAAGGGCAACGGAATTAAAATGCAGACAAATAATTTAATAAAAGCATTAAAATTAAAAATTTATAAAATTACATATTACATTTTATTATTATTCTAAGGAAGATCTTGGCAAGATCGTTCTTTGGCAAGTCTTCCAAACAATATTTCTGTTAAAAATTTATAAAAATATTTTTTCTGATTTAAAATAAAATTTAATAATTTATAAAACTTTCCTCTATTATTTTTCCTTTCTTTTGCATTTAATATTATTTATTTTATCAAGTCTTGCTTCCATTTTTGCTTCATGGCCGGAAGTTGTAATTATTGATTAATCAATATTTAAAATTTTGCAAAAATACATAAGAGCTGTAAAATGCTCAATGAATGCCTCTCCTCTTCATAATATGTATAGATTTTTATTTAAAAATTTATTTTAATTAATATAAAATATTCATTTTTGTATAATAAAAATTTAATAATTTAAGTTTCTTATTTAGATGTTTTTAATAAATTCTTAATTTGTCTGGAAATAATTAGTTATGCTAAAATTAAAAAAAAACTTTTTTTTTCAATCCAAATTTAAGTTAGCCAACTTTCCGAAGTTGTAAAAACACCCAGAACTAATTTTTTAAACAAAAAAAAAACCGGATTTTTCGAAAAATGAATTGAAATTTGCCGGCCAATTTCCGGACAAATTAAAGCTGGTTTGAGGCAGAATTTGGAAATCAAATTATATTTTTTAATTTGAACACTTCTAAAATATTTTACTGACTGATTGTTAGAATATTTTGAACTTTTTTAATTTTCCCAGAAATAATTTTTAAAAAATTTTTAGATGAAAAACTATTTTCCCTAAATTTCCGAATAGTTTTATTTAAATGAAATTTATTTTTGTCTTAACATATTTTTTGATTGTGTTTTTCACAAATTTACCTCAACCATTTGTTAGAGGAGCGGGAAGTAGCTTTGGTGAGTTTAAATTTTAAATAATAAAAATTTATTTTGTATTGCCTTCGGGAATTTGGGGAATTTCAGCCCAATTTTATATCAAGTAGTGAAAATTATACAAAAAATTATAAAAAAAAGTTTCCTTCATCATCCCTTTTTATTTTGAAATATTAATTAAATTATACCAAGCTTCTATAAATTTAAAATTAAATTTATCTTCTACTTTTTCATAACTTATCTTCCCAATACATAAATAGTCCCCAATCCTCTTTAAAAAGTAACTTTAGCTTTTCCTATTATTTATACAAATAATTACTCATCGTTCAAGTCCTTTACATATGCGCGCTTAATATATTAAAGCAGCTGGGCTATAGCTATTTCTCTCCTTTAGCTAGAGCAAAAGGTTATTCGGCGCTGGGAGCGAACCAGCATCTTCAGAAGACCGGACTGATGTGTTAGCCATTACACCATACTGACTATGCACAGCCTTAGGAATTAATAGCTATATGCTTTACAATATTCAAGTCCCAGCCAAATTTACGTTCCGGCAGAACACTACAATAACTAATTTCCACAATCAACCTTTAATACCCATTAACAACCTCTCGCCCTTTTTTATATTTACAAGATTTAATTTTATAAAATTTTTACTATATTTAAACAGAAAAAATTCGAAGATGTTATTATTACAACCCAAATGGGAATGTTAAAAGTTATTCTCTAGTAGAGCTTTCTTTTCTAATTCGAATACTAGAGAATATTGTGCCTGATGAATTTTACGCGAATGATGATCAAATTTTAGATATTTTTGTTGGAATAGGGGAAGGAATACTTGGAAAGTATAACTTGTCTGATGATTACTTCCTTCAATGTCTTGTAATAAAACTTGACAATGTGAGAGGATTTAAAGCTTTTTTAAATTTAATAAAACTTTAAATAAAGGTAATTAACTATTATGAAAGAATAATTGCTGGTTACGAGATAGTTTTGGGCCAAGAAATTGGGGTAAATGAAAAGAATTTTTATTTGCTTTACCATTTGTATGCTCTAGCAAGAACTCTTATCAGAATGTTTTTCCAATCAAATTATTTTGTCACATATACAACTCTTTTCAGACAAAATACTGCGTGAGTATGTTTAAAATGAAGTTATTAATTTTAAGAATTTATAAATTAATTGTTGAAGTTGATAATAGATACTTTAAATACTCAAAAAATTTATTGTTAAAGTGTGGGAGTTAAATTTCTCTCCTTTAGCTAGTCTACTTTTTCATACCTTATCTTCCAAACAGTCCCCAATCCTCTTCAAAAAGTAACTTAAGCTTTAACTTAAGCTTACATCTTGTTTATAATATTTTCATGAATTAAATTGTTATCATTATAATACTTTTAGTAAAAGTATTATAATCTTAATGAAATTTAGGAAAAGTATTTCACTGATTCGCTACGTCAAACCTTATGATGTTTTTGAAGTACAAACAAACAAACTGCATATTCATCTAGTGGATCTAAATAATATTTTTACTCGGCGGAGTAATTTTGACGTAATCCATGATGATGTCAGGGGTAAATTAATTATTTACTAGACTAATAAATCTTGTATTACATCTTGTTTATAATATTTTCATAAATTAAATATATATCTCTATGCAGTAAAATATTTTGTTTATCCTAACAAAAAATATACTATATCCTAAACATCTCTCCCCCCATCCCGCCCCAATAACACTCTTCCATCCTCCACATACATATCCATTCTTTCCCTCTAATTACCTTAATTGCTTTATATTTTATTTTATTGTCAGTTAATTATGTGAATGCAGTGAAAACTTTGGAAGAGGTAGAAACTGAGATAATCAACCGATATGTTGTAAATTTCAGTGGAAATCAGAATCATGAAAATTATAATACAATAGAACGTTACGAAGAGATTATATTTACGTTCACAAGTAATTATTATTTTTCTTTTTATCTGTCTCTTCCTTTCAAGCTACAAATTTTATAAGTAAAATAAAAAAGTTATGGAAATGATTTATTAATTAATAGTGCTCAACGATTTGAGCTAATTAATTAATCAAAATCATTAATAATTAAATTAGGTATATATAAAAAAATTCCTATTAGTTAATACTGATTTCATTCCCGATCCAAAATCGGGATCGGTTTCACTATGCCTAAATTCTGATATAAATTCTGGTAACGCTTAAACCAAGCTCAAATATTGTGAATATTAAGGGTGGCATGCCAACTACTTCAAATTCTCAGGATTTCGGAAACAATTTAACTAAATTTTAATTTTTGTTTAAATTTTGTTGTGTATTAGACACCCAATAATACAAACAAAATAAATAAATAATAAGGAATTTATTATTTTCAAATAAAATACAATTTAAATTTGTGACTGCGTCACTGAATGAATGGATTGAATAAAAGAACAGACTGAACAGACTGGGGGAATAAGGAAATGCTTAAATAGACAAATGAATTGGGCGGGAAGGAAATGTCAAAGTGTCGATTATGTATTTTTGAATTGAGGTCATTTGAGTCTAACATCTCCAACATCTCCCTTTTTAAGATGATGCTCCCACCGGATTGGATTCATATTGTGTCTTGCTCGGGTCCGGGTCCAGAATTTTCCTTTGAATTCGTTGACGAGAGGGATATCGCCTAGATATCTTCTCTGTCTCTGGTTGGTGCATTTCCTTTTGTTTCGGAGAACCTTGAGATTGATGTGGAGGAATGTGAACGGAATGATCAGTGTCATCTGACATGAATCTACGTCTCAGTTGATTCGCATGTCTATGGACGTCTCGTCCTAGAGATGGAACTGATACTCTGTAGGTCGGTGAATTTCCTACTTTCTCTATGATTGTTCCTGGCAACCAATGTGTTTTGTTCTGACGGTAATTTAGCAGATAAACGGGGTCTTTTGGAGCGAATGAAGAATATTTGGCTCCATGTTTCGTGTTGAATTGGTTTGCCATTTTCTTGGTGTATTCCTCTCTATTTTTCTTCTCAACAGGAATTTTCTTTTGTTCAGCAGGGTGAACTAAAGTTAATTGAGTTCTCAATTTTCTTCCCAAGAATAGTTGATCTGGTGAATGTCCTTGTAATGCAGAATGTGGTGTTGATCGATATGCTAGAAGCATCTTTTCGCACCATAATTTATCTCCTTTACCCTTCTTCATTCCTCTCTTGAACGTGTCGACAAATCTCTCTACTTGTCCATTTGACTGAGGATGGAATGGAGGAGTAAATGTTTGCTTAATTCCATATTCTTTGCAGAATTTAGCTAATTCGGAAGAACGGAATTGTGTTCCATTGTCGGAAACAATTTCTTTAGGACATCCTAATCTGTATACAAGATTTCGAAGTGCCTCAACTGTATTTTTAGCAGAAATGTTGGGCATGCAGTATATTTCTGGCCATTTGGAATAAGCATCTACCAAAAGAAGGTAAGTGTGGCCGTCTTGACATGGTCCTGCAAAATCTATGTGGACTCGATGAAAAACTTCTTCAGGTGTTTTCCACGGTGTCAGCGTAGTTTTGATTGGCAGTTTAGCAGCTTCTTGACATTCTTGGCATAGACGAACTGTCTTTTCAATGTCGGAGTTTATCTGTGGCCAATAGACGTGCTCTTTCGCTATGGCTTTCATTTTAACTACTCCAGGATGTGCCAAGTGAAGTGCTTTAAGAATAGAATTTCGCAGTTTCACTGGAATAATAGTTCGATTGCCGTAAACTAGACATCCCTCTATTTCCGTTATTTCTTGTCTTTTCGGGAAATAGGGTTGAAGTTGTATGTCTTTGCAGTAATTCCAATCTTCTTTAATTTTCAAAACCAGTTTTTGAAGTATTTCATCTTCTGAAGTGTATTTCGCAATATCTTCGGCTGTAACAGGTAAAGGCTGAATTTGTGTTCCCAATGTAGAATTTACGAAGCATTCGGTACTAGAGCAAATGTTGGCGATTAGTACGTCTTCGTCGGGTTTTGGGTAATTAGCAATTAGACGAGAAAGTACGTCTGCCTTTCCGAAGTCATTGGTTTTGATGTATTTAATTTCGAAATCGTAGTTTGAAAGAATGATGGCCCATCTTTGTAGACGATTTGCAGAATAAATAGGAATACCGGTTTTTGAACCGAAGATGGCCAGTAGTGGTTTATGGTCAGTCAGCAGTGTGAATCGTCGACCATAAATCATTTTATGAAATTTTTGAACGGCGAATACTAGTGCAAGAGCCTCTTTCTCAATTTGGCTGTAGTTTCTCTGCGCAGGTGTGAAGGTAATAGCCGAATGTTCTACTGCTTTTTCCGTGCCATCAGGAAATGTATGGCTAATTACAGCGCCTATTCCATCTTTGGATGCATCAGCGGCAACAATAATAGGTAAAGACGGATCGTAGTGGGTCAGTAGAAGATCTGACAGAAGAATTTCTTTAGCCTTCTCAAAAGCTTTTTGCTGTTTTTCTGTCCAAGCCCATTCTACGTCTTTACGAAGGAGTTCATCCAATGGTGCTCGAATTTCACGCATTGTTTTGATGAATTTGCCGTAATAATTTAGTGCACCGAGAAAAGAGCGTAACGATGAAATGTCGTGTGGCGCAGGCATTTTGTGAATTGCTTCCGATCTCTTCGGATCTGGACTAATGCCTTTTGAAGTAATCACATGTCCTAAGAATTTTATCTCGGACTGCAGGAATTTGCACTTTTCTGGTTGAATCTTCAAACCAAAATCTTGAATTTTTGTAAATACTTTTCGCAGTATTTCATTGTGCTCTTTGATGGATCGACTAGCAATGATTACGTCATCCAAATAGCAGAAAGCACCGTTAATGCCAGTAAGAACTTGGTCCATCAAATGTTGAAATATCGACGGAGCCGATTTAACACCGAAAGGAAGGCGTTGGCATTGCATTAGGCCTCGATGTGTGTTAATCCCACACAATCGTTTTGATTCATTGTCCAGTTCGATTTGTAGGTAAGCATCCTTTAAATCTAGTTGGCTGAAGAAACGTGCACCGCGCAATGATGCGTAAATATCATCTGGCCTTGGAAGTGGGTGTCGATTTAATTCCAAAGCATTATTAAGGCCTGTGGAAAAATCTATGCAGACTCGTGTTTTTCCACTTTTCTTTTTAACAGCAAGAATTGGAGCAGCCCAGTGACTGAATTCGATCGGTTTAATTGCACCGATTTCTAGTAAACGATCCAGTTCTTCATTGACGGCTTGCAGTGCGCCATGTGGTACTGGTCTAGCTTTGCAGAATATCGGACGAGCCTCTGGTTTCAGAAAAAGATGAGCTTTTGTTTTGGTGCAAAAGCCTAGCTTTGAATCGAAGACTTTTGGAAATTTTCTTTTCAATTCCTTCTTCAGGCTCTCTTCGCGCTCAGCGTCGATCGAAGTTTCCTTTTTGATTTCTGCTATGCTCCTTTCTTTAGAAATCCATTCAGAAGATATTTCACGTGGAAATATGTT